CTAACCATAGCCACGTCTTCCGAAAGTGTTCTGAAAGCTGACCACAATCTAACAGCACATAAATGGGCGACACTCGGAGTTATTGCTCCGAACATACTACACTAGCTAAGATTTGCCTTCAACGTTGGCTTACTAAGTATGTAGTCTGTAAATCAATTTGTGAAAATCGCTCTGCTTGCTAATAAACCGATACAATTTGGATTTAATTCTCACTTGTAAGAGTATCTGCTCTTCAACTATGCCAAAGCAGCGCCACTAATTCTCCGCTTGTACTTAAATTGCACTCATTATCGTTTTCATTGCTAACGCTTTATGATGCAATCAAATATGCTGTGGCAACAGCTAGTGCAACAACAACAATCGCAATACATGCAGTGCCCAAATAACAACAACAAACAACTTACTTGAAACAACATTGCCATTAAACGCAAATAAAGAACAAATTTCGCTCTTAATTATGTTGTCAGCGGCTATTGGCTGGTGGCTGTAGGCTGTAGGCTGCAGGCGGCTGGTGTGGCACGACCGTGAAGCAGCTACACAAAAGTACACACATAGCAGCGCGTTGGTTAATGGGAGCTAGTGTTGTTGTTGCTGCTGCTGCTGCTGCTGTCAGTGGTGGCGGCTCTACTATTGGCGCTGCTGCAACTCGGAGTATTGTTTGCTATTGTTTTTGTATCTACTAGTGTGCACGTTGTAGCGAGATTGCTAAGTAATTATTCCACGCGCACACCAGCAATGCGCGCATTTATGGAGCAACAACAAGAGGAACAACCACCACAGTAGGGCGAATAGAAAAACGCATGCATTATTGGTATGTATGTATGCGCGACATGCGGCATGCAACAGATAAGATCGTCTACTAGTCGAGGCGCAAATGCTGTGTTGCCAGTTACAAACGACCAACAGCGCAATTCGCAGCAGCAACAGCAACCATACAGCGCTCGCTTATCGCTTGCAATATCGCGTAGAACATGCAAATTTCCTGCTCCGCCTGCCTGGCTGCTACAACAGATTTTTTACCAGTGCAATTTTATTTTTTTTTTGTGTACTTTATCTTTTTGCTTTTGCTGTTGCTTTGCGCTGAGCTGCATATAAAAGGGCGATACGGGTAATGTGGCATGTAAACAAAAGCCACTTACAAAATTAAGTGAACTACCAGCAATGACAACGGCAATGTGAATAAAACAAGCGATAACAAAATTTTTTAAGTTGTTCATACACTGCGATAGCGCGATTAGCAAGAGCGCGCGCGCGCGCGCGGGGATAGTTGCAACGCCTGGAGCGCGGCAACACTTCTTGCTGCGGCTACTAAGCGCAAGCTTTTACGGCCACATCCTGCTCGATCTGCGCCGATCAGATGGGCGAGTACGAGCGATACGATCACTTGACAATTGTTGCAGCCTTTTAGCACCATTTTTGTTGTTGTTGTTGTACATAGTTAATGATATTGTTGCCATCGTTTCGAGCGCCGTCTTTTTTGCAGCAGTGATTTTTGTTTTATGCGCCATTGTTGCCCATAAGGACGCTGCGTATGAAGTTATTACTTGCCACGTCAACGCGCAGCACGCTGTTGTGCACGACAACACTCGCATGCACTGGCTCCCCGCGTACCCGTTTAACTGCGGTGCCTTATGCGCGTTCAACACTCTAGGCGTTGCTAGCGGTTTGGCTGTGCTTGCGCAAGCATGGACCTGCTGTCAACCTGATTTGCATTGTGCGATGCTTCTGCGCACTCCCACTGCAGCAGCTTCAGTGGCATGCTAGAAATTATGACAGCCGCGCGACGGCTTGGCTGCAGAAACAGACTGGTTGTCGGCGTGTTGCACGACGCGCACATCATGCCGCATCAGCTGAAGCGAAGCTGGCGCGGCAACATCAACGTTCGCAACATTATATTGCTGCTACAACATCATTATCATTATTGTCATAACAGCCTTTGGCTTCTGGCGATAAATGGAGGCGTGCAACTTGGCCAACAGCAGCCACCACCGCTATTGTGGCATTTGCTGTGCGCTCTGTGGTCGTGAGGTGGGTGCACGATTTTTGCACAGTCACCGCAAAATGTTAGCAAGCCAGCCCAGCGATGGCCGGCCCAGCGTGCAACCACATGGCAAGTTAAGTTGTAAATTTCGCAAATATCTCGTTTTTTTGTCACAGACGCGCAGCACAACACTCGATTGCTTATTATGATTCTTGTTGTTATTACATATTTTAAAGTGGCTTCCATTGTTGTTCTTGCTGCTGCCTGCTGCATACTTGCCTGCTGTTGCAACTAAGTGTAGTGCATTAGTATGCGCAATTATCCGCGAGCGCGACAGTTGCACCAGCCACA